CGTGTGGAAAAAATGAGAAAAAATCCCAACAAAGCTCCAGGGGGTGCCAGATTTTAGTGAAGCAAATGGGGTCAAGATCTTACATTCATGGAAATTAAAAATTAATCGTTGATCATGTAAGAATCAAGGGCAAAAATAGGTTTTAAATTAATCAACATCCCCAGGAAGTATCTGCTTACCTGACTTTTCCCTGGGTCATAAAGCCATGAGGGGCTCAAACTTCCAGGACCTCCTGGCTGCCAACTGCAACAGGGTGGCTGCACACTGGGCCTAGGCCCAGTCGTCTCAGCATCCCATCACTGAGCGCTGCCTGTGGCATCTTACAGTGACTGACGGTTTTGTGTCTTCTCTTGCCATTTCCTTGTGTTCAGTGCTATAAAGGGAATATGAGTACATAACTTCCTGAGAGACGGTCACATTTGGGAAGCATATTTACCAACTGTCTCTGTAGTTTAGTGAGGTTAAGCATAAATAAAGATTTTCCAAGCTGAAACTGAACATGTATCATCAAAGTATTCTGGTTTGGCTCTAACTGGTGAAAAAAAAAATGCAGGCACATAATCGGAGCTGGAAGAAAGTGGTGCTTTCTAAACTTCAGTCATTAGAGCAGTTTACTACCACCATTCAACTAACACTAACTTCCTGTTAGTTTAATTCAGTGGGATTTTAAAAGTACTGAGGTACTGATAACACTGCCCTTTATATATTTTAGTAACTTCAGAAACTCTCTTAGGTCTAATATTAATACTGTTTGAGCATAATCGATTTTATCATGACTATGGCATGCCTTTGTGTTAAAGACTTTACAAAGACTGTTCTTGAAAAACTGTTAAGTAATGCAATGCCCAAGGAAAAAGAGTATGTTGAAAAGTGGATGGGGTCTGCTGATGGTCTACGGTCAGGAAGATATTTCCTCTTTGAGAAGCTCATCTTAAGCATCCCTTAAGCCTAGGGTGTATATACTGCTGAGGGAAAAAGTATTGATTGACATGGATTTATGTGCCTCCATGAAGTACATTTCTAGCTGCTCCACAGCAGCCTGAAAGGACCTGGTATGATCCAAAGCAGAGTCCAAAGCACACACATAAGTGGTGTGGACAGGGAAGTCCAGTGCTCAGCAGGCTTTCCCTTTAGCAAACTGGAGGGAATCAAGGCACAGGCTTGAGTACTCTCCTTTGATTGTCCTTGCTACTGAGTTGTCAGCAGGCGCTCAGGCTGGTGTATTCTGAAGCAGTGCCCCTTGCACTGTTTAGGAGCTACCACAAGCCAGGACTTGTTTTTTACAGTCAGTATGGACAAGGCTGCCCATGGGCAAACTGAAACTGCGAATGGACAACTGGCTTTGGGACTGATACAGCAATTTTTGAGGATAGGTGTGATCATTTTCAGACCAAGATAAGCTTACAGAGAGCTTGGGACTTAAAATGAGTCTCTAAACTGATTCTAGCCACCTTAGAAAAGCTTTCTTCTTTTACAGCATAGGAGCCCTGAATATTAACAGATTTATGCTAGCCCATGCAGTGATGGGGAGGGAAGCACTGCCTGGTTCCTACAAGTTACACATTCTAGGGGTAGATGATGTATCCCACACTGCTCCCTCTTTACGTGTTTTTCCTAATACATTAGTCTCTTCAGCTGCCTTGGCAGCTGACCATTATGGATTTGCTGTCTGCATGATTTCTTTCTGATTTTTATTAGTTCTTGAAATAGGCAGGGATGTACTATTCAATGCCTTCTAGATAAAGGCTATGGCATAGCAGGCAGCTTTAAGTAGGTGAATAAACAAGACACTGTCATAAATTATTAAAACCCAAAGTTGTCATACTAAGCAGTCTTCCCTATGCAGCCGTTCCATCATGATTAATGTATTAAAATAACTTGTAGCAGAGAGAGTGAAACCTGAAAGCCAAGGATTTATTCTAAGCCATCCTGAGCTCTCATCTCTTTGCCTACCATTTTGATGGATTAAGAATACAACTTGTCTTGATGTTTGGTGTCTTTTTTTTTTCTTTTCTTATTTAAATACCATTTGTGTCTGTGGAACAGCTATTCTTTTTTAACTTTTTCATGCAAGTACTAGTGCTACAATATGCCTGCTCTTTCAAAATGATAAATCACTGCTTTCCTCTCAGTACAACACGTAATTAATAAACAGCGCTGAAGACCTAAGAGTTCCCCAGCTGATTTCAATGGATTCAAATCTGACCTTGAATTATTCTCCCCTGAGCTGCAGAAAGGCATGTTTGGGTCATTTACTGCTTAACTGTCAGGAATGTCCCAGCCACAGTTGTTAAAAACTTAAGCTTTTTCTATAGTGAAAGTTAACTGTACTCTGATTTGAGCTTTTGTCTGTCCACACTCAAAACTCCTAAAATGGAAGCTTGTTCAGGTTATAATGCTCACATGCTGGTGCCAGTTAGAGCTCCTCTTTGCTCAGACTACAACTCATTTTTTTCCAGAAGACATCAGAGAATGTGCTACAGCACTAAGTCTGCTTGCACTGCTCTTCACACAATCCTGCATGTGGGGCAGATAGCTTGGATCGCAGCTCAAACAATTATCTGGAAAAGAACTTTAAAACACCTCAGGTTGAAAAATATAACTATAGAATAACCTCTAAACATATACGTGGGTACACATGGAAACAGTGAGACCATCAGGTGCAGCAGTAAATCCAATGGCTGTGGGTTTTGCTCACACCTGGGATTGGCTGGACTTTGTGCTTGGTCTTGAGGGCCAACCATTCATATGAATTGTGATGCCTAAATCAAGGACATTTCTTGAATCAAAGGCTGGCATGTGTCAGTATAATTTCCACAATATTCTCAAGCGTCATGTTACTTGTGTCACAGCTTGCTCTGTGATGTTCCATACCCAGTCACCAGTCTACTTCCCTCTCTTCAGTATAGCTTTTCTAATGCTACCTTCTTTGACATGCTTGTTAGCTGCCACAGAACATGCTGAGGTATGAATTAATGAAATTTCATCTTTATGTATATATATTATATGTAATATATATATTTCATTATTACGTATATATATTCTCAGTTTAGTGGAGTATTTATGAGGGTTTTCTATTTATCACTAAGACAGTTTGGAGAGAAGAACAGGAAATAAAACTTCTGTTCTATATTCGCTCTATCTATATATCTTCTATTTCTATACCTTTGTGACAGTACATCTTTTTAGCATGAACTTAGAGGCATGCAAAGAGAAAAAATACTTTGCAACCTTCTACCTTGCAGAAAAGCAAGCACCTTTTCTACTACTGTCTGTCACAGTCCTAATAGTTGTTCAGACAGATTTCTGCTCTCGTGTTTGAGGCTTATGAGTGTTGAAGTTAAGAAGTGAAAGTGATAACTGTAAACTTAAGTAACTTAGTTGTGCTGAGTACAATAGTAGTCATGAGTCTTCTGAGATACCCTTACAGATAAATTCAATAACATAATACAACTTAAAAACATGAAAATAAAAATGAGAGGTGAAGGGCATCCCAAATAAAAATCCCAAGTAAAAAAATAGCATATGAACAGTAATTAAAATTAGACTTGGCTCCTAAAAATAGAAGCTCCAAACTCTCCAATTATCCCAACTGTAATAGATCTTTAACTCAGTAACCTGAAGTTGAGTGTTACAGTTCTGGTTTGTTTTCAAGAGCAGAAGTTTAGATATGCTGCTGCTGGAAGCAGAATGTCAGTGTAAGCACATCTAGTGATTAATGTGTAATTAATAATACAGAGCAAGAACAATTGTATGCAGTTTGCACTTAACGATTTTAACTTGTATATGATTCCTATCAAACCATAACAGTGCATTAGGTGCCTGGAAGAGCTTGTGGGGTGAGAGTAATGGATTTTAATTGATTTCCTTTCTGGATAGAATCCATTTGGTCAGTAAGATCTCAGACCCTGATATCTATGATTTCAATCCTCCCTCTAATAGCATACAGTGAAGGTAACACAAGGTGTTATGCTGTATGCTTAAATGCATTTGCAGCTGAAACATTATTCCTGATGTTTCTCTGTCTTTTGCCTGCACCAGTGCCCTGCTTCCCTAGAAATCAAAAGGTGCAGAATGTACTGCAGGCTGATGTGGTGTGAAGGGCTCTGGTGCAGGTGTCTTAATAAAAAGACGCAAGAGGCATATGATTCCTGGAAAGGAATGCCTATAAAATCATAAATTCTCAGGGTCACCTGTTTCTAAACCACATAAATAACACTGAGAGACGTTAAGAGGTAAGGATATAAGGATATGATAAGGAGACCTTGTCACCATGTTCAGTATTTAAAGGGTGGCTACAAAGAAGATGGAGACTCCCTTTTTCAAGGAGTCACATGGAAAAGACGAGGGGTGGTGGGCACAAGTTAGTCCTGGGGAGATTCTGGCTGGACACAAAAGGAATGTTTTTCACAATGAGAATGATCAGCCATTAGAATAATCAGTCTCTCCAGGGAAGTGGTGGATTCCCCAGCACAGGCTACCTGTAAGATTCATCTGGACAGAGTGCTGGGACATCTGGTTTATGTCATGCCTTACCTGGAAAAGCAGGACCAGATGGTCCTAGCTGTCCCTTCCAGCCTGTCATTCCATGACTCTATAATTCAGGGTTTTGTGTATTGTCCTCACAGGCACATCTTTGCACATAATATAAACATGGCATCTTTAATACACCTTTAACCAGCTACGTTAGTCGTGTCGCGGCTCGCTGTGACCGCGGCCGCTGCTGCAGACTGTGCGCAGCACCGAGTACCCTGAGGCAATTAAAGGTTTATCAAGGGCGCTAATGGCAGGCTGGCACTGGGGCCGGAGGTACGTACGAGGGCTGCGGGGAAGTGTCGTGTCGCCTGGGAGCCACAGGGCATCGCCCACCGCCAGCGGGCACCAAGCGCTCATACTGCGCCGCGCAGGGACGCGGGCGGTGGCACCGGAGGCAGGCCCCAGCCCGAGGGGCGCGGCCGGGGACCCGCCCCCGGCCAGGCCCCACCGCCTCCCGTCCCTCCCGGCGCGGCGCGGAGCACAGCGGGGCGATGTGGCAGTGGCGGTATGTCAGCGGCCGGCAGCTGGATGGCTTCCGCCAGTACAAGGTAACGGCGGGACCCCGGGGGTCGGGGCGTGCGGGCGCGGCTTCTGGTCCTCCCGGTTTGGCGTGTCTGAGCTCTGGAGGGCTCCGCTCTGCCGCGGCTCAATGCCCATCCCAGCTCTGCCTTGCTCCACTCCGCTCCGCGTGCGGCCCGGCCATCCCTATGCCTGTGGAGGGTACCTCTGTGAACCCGTCGTGTTTCTGACCCGGCTGGGGTCTTCCTCAGACCCAAGTGAGCGAGTGAGTAGGCACCGGTATTTAGGAAGCGGCAGGTCTCTGTGGAAACAAAGTTGTAACTAGGGTTTAAGTGAGTACTGAAATGTTCGAAAGCCTGGTACGTTTTAAAAAACGTGGGTTGGGAGTAATACAGTGTTTCTGTAAGAAAGCCTGCTTTGCTGGTGCTTTTCTGGCTCTGTGCAAATTCTTCATACACAGGAATGTTTTGGCTTTGAGAAATGCATAAGAAAGCCAGAAAATAAGCTTACTTTAAATAATTTGAACTAAACCTCATGTTTGCAAATAACAAGCCTGCAGAATCCAAATGAATGGGTGGATCATTTGGTATTTTTATTTACCAACGTTATGTTGAAGACTTAGGAGATACGTGCTTTTTGTTCCCAGGACATTACAGGTGTCTGAGATAGGCTGTGCTACTCTGTTCACACAACTCTTACCTCGCTTCATGTTAAAAGCATAGGGGCATGCCAGCTTCCTTTATGTTCAGTTTCCTAAAGCAGCTCCTACCTCGTGCTCCCCATGGTTCTTTCCTTTACCATGCACCCTCCCAACCTGGCCTCCAACCCGAGCTCTCAGCTTCTCCCAGCTCCTATCAAGCGTTTCCCTTCCCCAGGCCAGCAGTTACGCCTGCTCACTGCAGGGTGAAGGGTGCTGAAGTCACTGTGGTTTCAGGAGCCTCCACCAGGTCCCTTCTTAGGAGCCTGTTATGCAGAGCAGGTAGTTAAAATGTACCAACCTGTCTGTGTTTCTCCGGTGAGGGTGGGATAAAACATGCTGCAAGCTGCATTTGGCCACTGGGCGTAAGTTGCACAGGCCTGTGCTTGAACACCGGAGCCACAGTCTAGACTGGGATCAGCAGAGGGAAAATAAAAAGCTATTTTTAGCATAAACAGATATTATTATTTAAGTAACATTCCTAAAATATTCGTGTTGTAGTACAAATACAAGGAACGGTTGTATCACATTCTTCCTTATCACTTGAATGAAAGTAGCTGCAAATAAGTGCAGATGGGGAAGAATCAAAACATTTTTTTACAACTTGTAATCACTGTGTGGTACTTAGGGATTACAGGGCAACTGATTAGCGAGAGACAGAATCGCATATCAAAACGTTTTACTTGAGTGTATTGAAATTGCTTTGCTTTCTTGGGAGCAATGTAAAGGCCGTAAAATATGCTAGGTAGTTTTTTTAACTGTAGGAAATGGACGTCACACTTGAGAAGTATCTGTTCAACTATGGTAAACTGTGGTAAGTACAGGTATTAGAAGGTGAAATCAGATCATCAGCTCTCTGTTATCTGAGCTGACTCAGGAGTGGGACATCTTGGAAATAAATAAATAAATGCAAATGACACGGGTTACACCCAGAGAGATACAGTTGCATGAAGTCAGTGCTGCTGAGCTGGTGGGGTATCTGCACAGTCTTCCTGGTGCTCCAGGAGGACACTGCAGCAATGCCCATTCCCAAAGTGCTCCTCACGATGGGTCAAAGTCCACCAAAATGGAAAAGGAGTGTAGCAAGGAGAGGCAAGGAGACACTACTTACTGCCATAATCTTCTTCCCCACCTCCTCACCTCACCCTCCCATGCCTAGGGCTGCTACCACAACCACAGCTTTGTTCTTGCCACTTCCCAGGCCTGAGACATGCTCTTCAACCTCATTGCCCTCTGGCTGCCATCTTCTCCATTCTCCTTATCAGCCTAGGGCCTCACCTCATCCTGCTTTTCCAGCTTCCCAGCTCCTCTGAAGAGACTGCTGCTGCCTTTGCTGCCTCCTCAACAGGACTGGTGTTAAACTCAAGTTACTGTGCCCAGCAGACACAGGTTACCTCTTTACAGTCACCTGGCTATCTCTACTGTGTGTACTCTGGAGGGGCACATAGGCTTACCTTGTGAAGAGCTAGATAATCTCCGAAAGGCTTTATTAGGCACATGTTGAGTATTGAGCTAAAATAGACCTGAAGCATCCCTTGGAAACTAGGTAGGGGCATCCACCTCTTAAGTGTGCATTACATTGCAACATTATCAGTGGCTAAATATGCTCCATACTTAACACAGTTTATCTGCTGAGCTGATCTGGGAGCTAATCATAACATAGATTAAAAAAAATAATTTGTGTAATCATCTCCTTTCATAAAGGTGAATTTAATAAATTAAAAAAAAACAACACTGTTCCACTTCAAATTTTTACACAGCTGAACTCATTTCTCTGCCATGAATGCTGCAATTGTATGTCTCAGGCACTGTCTGTCTCCTGTTTGCAGCTGGAGGAGGGCCTTGGCAACAAACCCAGCAGTTCTTTGCAAAGGGAATGGCAGACCTAACGAATGCAAAGATTTCAGCACCCTTTAGTCCATGGTATGTTAGGCTTTTGAAGCAAGTTTTCCTCAATTACCAAGCTCTGGTTTACATCACATAGTGGCCCTGGAGCACAAAAAATAGTCTGTTTGGATGAACCTAAAATAGATGTACTAAGAACACACAAGTATACCCAATGCATTTAGTCCATGGTATCATACTAGAAGCAGTTAAGTGTAAAACCTTCTGAAATCCTTCTAGGATGGATGCTGGATCCTTAGGACTAGCTATTTCACTATACAAATCTATTCCCATTTGTTCTGCATGTCAATGGAGATTCAGAGATTCAGTTTTCTTTTTTCTGCTCAAAAATGCACTGAGAACAACAGGTGGAGATGTGACGATAAGACAGTTCAGATGCAACCCTGGGTATTGCTGCTGTGGTAATTCTGCTGCCTTTTTGCCCATGAGGCAGGTGAGCAGGTAATGATTTCAGGACAGTTGCATGCTCAGGTGATGTGCAACTGTAGAGCAGAAGCAGCTGATACTTGGGCATTGTGCTATTCCCTAGGATCTGGAGTGACACAGCTGAAAAGCTGCAGCCAACTGCAGTTGTAGGGCTTAGTTCGTGTTCCTGCTTTTATATTCTTGGTATCAGCATTTTGCAGTTCTAGAGGAGCATTCATGGAGGTTCACAGCTGCTTTGGGTTTCTGTTGGAAACAAGCAGTTCTGTGACAGCCAGTTGCTGAGTACAAATAAAAGCAGAATTTGGTTCTTTATTTTTGTCCTCCTCACCAGAATGCAGTAATGTTAATGGTGAACTCTTGGTGCCATTGTCTCTTCTTATCACTGTGATCTTAGGATTTCCCTTGCAAATCTGCCTTGAATCAACTCTTCTACAGCACCTATGCACAGAGATTTTCCAAGCCAGTAAACTCTGACACTTTATCCTCTTTTAGAATGAAAGAGATCTAAGGATAAACTACAGAGGCTTGACTCAAAGTATAGGCTGTGGGAAATATGATTTAAAATATCAGAGGTAACATTAAAAATTAAAGTCCAAGTTTCCACATTTTCGTCTTTGTATGTTCACACTCTTTCTATCCTCTAAGCCATTATTCAGAGGGTAACTCTCTGTGCAGAGAACTGGGGGCCAGTAAATTAGGTATATGTGGTTTCATGTCAGTGGGACTTCTGATATTGTCCCACTGTCTCATAGGTAGGTAAAGGTAAGTAAGATGACATTACCTGATGCTAAAACACTTTGAAGAATAGGCTTATAATTCAAAATGTTCTTGAAAAAGGGACATAATGGCCAGAAATCGATACGAAGAAATTCAGTAAACAAGGTACAATGCAGAGGGGAAAGAAAACCAACATTTCGAGCATAAAATAAGAGACAATGTACTGCAAAAAAAGATCCTTAGGGATCAGAGCGTCAGCAGTGTTACGGCTGTTACGTTAAAGAGAAGAAAGCTCTGATGTTTGAAGTGTTATAGATATGTCAAAGGGTTACATATACTCCTATGGCTGACATACTGATCAGGTATCAGCTGAAATAATGTGTCCTGCTTGTTTTGTCACACAGTTTGCAATCCACAGCATGGCATCAGGAATATTAAGAGGCTTAGAAAAGATGAGCTGAGAGAAACAGTCTGAGTACTGTGCGAGTAAGAGCCTAACAGCCAGTTGGTCTTCATGCATGCCCTTAAAACAAACAACCCAAAACAAAACAATATGTAAGTTTTGGCTGTGCAAAGAGAAATTTAAAGCAGGTGCTACATCAGCCTTGTGTTGGTAAGGATTGCTGAAACAGGTACTAAGGGGGATTGTGCAATAATTTTACCAGTCTTATGAAATGGTTTGATTTCTCTGATGGAGGATTTACAGTCTAGTGTTGTTAAGAAGCAGTTGCTTACACCTTTTTTTTAGCAAAGTTTTGGGCAGTGTGTTCTATTTTAATGTGCTGATAATGGTCGTTTATCGCAAGCAACTGGCTCATTACCTCATGGTAACTTGATCTGCTTCCTGAATGCATGCTGAACGTGATGCTGCTTTAGGTGAATGTGCTGGACTAGAAGGCAGTTACTCTCAAGTTACCTGCCAGCTCTCATTTTTGTAGGTTGGGGAAACAAGATCAGACATATGATGATCACATTTCAAGGCTTGATTGTTTCTCTCATGCTGACTTGTACCAAAAGAGCAAAGTGTGTTGAGTATGATTCTATAATCTAGTGAACTACTTTCTGGAAGTTCAGGATCAATCCAGATACAAGGCTGGATTTTTGCTAAGTCTTTATGTATTTCCAAGGCTGCCTGTATAACTATGAAATATAGATACATAATGGGTCCTGCTCACATTAATTGAATGGGAGGTGGGTTTTTTTTATTCCAGTAGCATAAGGATTTGACATGATTTTGAAAATTTAGGACAGGAGACTTTCATTTGAATATTTATCTGGAGCTTC